TTGTTCTCTTCCAAGTAACACCATGTTGAAGCAACCTCCATATACAGTACTTTTAGGAAGTCGAATGCTACATTACCAAAATCCAGTCTTAGAGAAGTGCTGTGATGTACATGGGTCATTAAAAAGTATTGCATTTTAAATGACAAAATTGTGAACAATTTTACATTTGTAAGAGAATGATGAAAAGAATGTTTTAGGGATTAAAGTTTATTCATTGAGCTCAATGGCCTTTTTTTTTCGGAATGGGTGGTGGCCTGGTGTTCACCTAGCAACAGCCCATTCTGCCTAACTTCAGTGTTACCTAATGATGCGTGTGGAGTGACGTTGAGAGCTTGCGTGTTGGTTTGTGTGTCCACCGAGACCCAGAATTCATCAGAATAAGCACTAATTACTCTGTTGTTGGAAGTCACATGCTCAGAGGGTAAGAGCCTGGGAAGCCCTAGTGTCTGTGCTCAGCATTCTCAGAAATTACCGTGTATTTACTCAGATTTCTAAGGCAAATTAAGTGAAACAAATTAAGGTACGGAGCCGTGTGTGCCATAGGCTCCTGTTTGTTTGTTTTATTCGTTCCAACTTTACACAGCTGTCAGTATACGGGAAGTTTTCAAAGGAATACATAAGAGTCGTTAGTGGTGTTTGCCTTTGGGGTTTAGCCTGGGCTCCAGACATAAAAGTGAACGGAGATGTTCATTGCATCGCTTTCAGTCCACGTTCACTGCTTTAATTTTATCCCGTGCGGTATGGCATCAACATTTCTTCACGTTTCAGATTTCCGTCAACGCCGAGCAAGTCAGAATAGAACTGGAGCCACCAGATAAAACAAAGTCCTTGGGCACAATTCAGCAAACAAGAAGGCAGAAGATGCAGCAGAAGTAAGCTGTGACTGCAGGGAGCATGCTGCTCCAGGCCTTGAATGTGACAAAACCCTTGTGATTTTCCCATACCCTCAATTTGGCATAATCAGGTGTATTTATTCTTAGCACTAATGGTATTTGCTTTTCTAACTTTTTGTCACATCTGTTTCCCAGGAAATCACAAGACCTAGAATCTGTTCAGGACATTGGAGGTTCTTACTGGCAAAGAGTGACCCTCATCCTGGAACTACTGCAGCACAAAAAGAAGCTCAAAAACCCTCAGATCCTGATCCCAACGCTCTTCAACCTGCTGTCGAGGTAACGGCCCTGCCTTTGGTCCAGGAGAGAAGGGCATTCCCATTCCTCCTCATCTGATTTTACTTCCCGCTCTTCTTTCTCTTGCTTCGCTGGTCTGTAGAGTAGAGCAAGTTCAGAACTGGTGTAGAAAGATGAAAAGGATGGTTTAGGACCCGTTGCCATGCCCACGCTGATCTTCATCCTGGTAGTAGGTGGCCACCTGCCTTGCAGTCCACTTTCTCCTTTCAATGCCATGTCCCCGGGGCTGCATTGCTTGTATTTAAAGATATAAGGCCGCACCCACTCTATATTTTAGGTGTAAATTATTAGATAGAGAGCCATAGCGAGTGCCGTTGAATTGTGGGTGTGTTCTTTTCATCTGAAAGGCAAATCAGTTCTAAGATTCTACACAGGGTGATGGAAAGTGCAGTAGGGAGGAGAGGTAATTTGACATAAGCACCTGCCTGTATGAGAAAGAAGTTAGGATTCGAAATCTTCCAGCCTGTGTATAGACTTGATGTTTAATGTTAACGTCTTAGTCATTCCTTATTGAACATGTGTGCTGGACAGTGGTCATGGGCTGTCACTGACTGACATGATTCAGCTCTCACACCCCGTCCTCTTCCGGATCTGCAGGTGCTTAGAGCCTTTGCCTCTGGAGCAGGGAAGCATGGAGTACACCAAACAGCTAATTCTCAGCTGTTTGCTCAACATCTGCCAAAAGCTCTCTCCAGATGGCGGCAAAATACCAAAAGGTATGTGTGTGCTTCGTTGGGGGGGGAGGTGGGAGATTGTCCACCTCAGGTAGGACCACGCCTGCCACCTACAGCTTGTGTACCTCTCCCCACCGCAGACGTTCTGGACGAGGAGAAGTTTAACGTGGAGTTGATCGTGCAGTGCATCCGCGTCTCGGAGATGCCTCAGACCCACCACCACGCCCTCCTACTTCTGGGGACTGTGGCCGGGATATTTCCTGTAAGTATGCATGGCGTGGGGCTTCCGCAGGTGTTCCCGGTGTTTCCGTCTTCCCGGGACAGGCTAGTGGGTGCCAAGTAGTGTTTTGTGGGTTTTGCATTTCCCTAATGACTCATGAGGTTGAGCATCTTTCCATGGGTGTTGGATGTTTGTTTACTTTTGGAGAAATGTCTTTTTAAATCCTTGGCACATTTTAAAACTGAGTTGTTTCTCTTACTGCTGAGGTATAATGAATCATTGATATTTGATTTGTTTAAAATAGAAAGTGTTGAAAAATGTCTTTTCTTTCAGGATAAAGTTCTACACAATATTATGTCTATCTTTACATTTATGGGAGCCAACGTCATGCGTCTAGATGATACTTACAGTTTTCAAGTTATTAACAAGACAGTGAAAATGGTTATTCCGGCACTTATCCAGGTGAGCCGTCTTTATACCATTGCTAGTGTCATTTTCTACAGTTTTACCAGCCTTTCTAAAATGCTCAGGTATTAGTGCCTCTTAAATTGTAGACGATGAAGCTAAGAAGTAATCTTGAAAATGATGTCTTTTCCAAAATATGAATAAATGTGCATTCTACAAGGGTATAACTACGAAAGTGCCTTGACTTTATTCTGACAAAGTGAATTTACATTTACTGTGTATTTCAGGACATTGCATCAGTTTGGTAATAACCCTTGTGTAGGGCGATGAAGATAGGAAGCGTTAGAGCTACAGTGGCAGCCTTACTGTGCAAGTCCACAGACATGTACAAGCTCTCTCTAAGAGCTAAGCGCTCAGAGATGAGGGAGACATAGTCTCTGCCTCTAAGGATGGACCATTTGAACTAAAAAGTGGCCTCGCAGATGAAAGAGGTTGGTCATCTCCTTGAGTTCTCTGTTTACCTCCATTGTTGTTGGTCGTATCTTATGTTGTTGACTGACCATTCCAGGGATGACCGTATCAGCACTGTCTCCTTTGAATCTTGGTATTAGATTGGTATTCTCCATTTCCAGCACATTAGTGAAACAGGACACACACACATGTATATACTAAGAAAAACTCTGCCTTGTCATTGTATTTGCCAATAGAATAGGTAAGTGCTACGAGTCCAGAATAGGAAAGTCCACCTGGGCCAGGCTGACCACAGTTTCCTAAGAAACCAGGTGATTGGTAGGAAAGTGCAGGATTTGCCCAGGAAGTGGCAGCGTCGTCAGTAGCGTGAGCAGAGGCACAGCCGGGAAGGTGCACAGTATGAAGAGTGTCATGTGGTTGATTTGTGGGGGGCAGAGAATCGAGACAGAAATAGAGGGTGTTGGTTTGTTCATTCTTTTATTTATGGAACAGCTCTGTTATGAGCACCCATACCAGAGAAGAATGGTCTGAACTTGATTCTGAACCAGCAGGAGCTCGCGGCCTTTCCGTGCTCTCAGTCGTACCCACTCTTCTCGAGCAAACACAAACCCTGCTTGGTCTCCGCAGCTCCCCGGGCGTCCGAAAGCAGGCTTGCTCTCAGTGCCTGGCATTGGGGTCTGCCATGTAGTGCCTCCTGTTCCCTCCTCACCCCGGTGTCTTGTTTCTGATGAGTCTCCTTTGCGGCAGGGCTCACATCCTACACTCAGTATTCCCCTCAGGGCCAAATAGTGCCTGGGGTGTAATTTATCCTTCTCGAATATTTCCTGATTGGCCTCTGATTATTAAAATTATTCCAGTAGCGTTGGGCACACAGGAAGGCCTTGTCCTGCCCACTTAAAGCCTGCTGTGGGGGGGTTATTTGTTCGCCCTGCTGACCCTGCTTGCCACTCTGCAGTCTGACGGCGGAGACTCTGTGGAAGTCACGAGGAACGTGGAGGCGATCGTGGTGAAGATCACGGGAGTGTTTGTGGATGCGCTGCCACACGTCCCAGAGCACAGGCGCCTGCCGGTCCTGGTCCAGCTCGTCGACACCCTCGGTGCAGCCCGATTCCTCTGGGTCCTCCTCGTCCTGCTGTTCGAACAGTACATCACGAAGACCGCGCTGGCGGCCGCCTGCGGGGAGAAGGTCAGCGTGTGGGGCGGGTGGAATGCAGGACGGGTGTTTCCCTCAGGTTTGTGAACTTTTCCAGCCGAACTGTGGGCAGCGATGTTCTGTGTGCAGTACTTGCCAGTGCTGGCTCAGAACTGCTCTTCCCGATGCCCTGTCAGTCTTCAACGTTGTTTCGGAGCCATGGCTCTGGGTCCCACAGCAGCCGCAGGCACCGCTGAGGGTGCAGGTCCGGTGCCCTGCGGGTGGTTCTGCTCTGAGCCCAACAGAGGACAGCCGTGAGGGATTAAACAGTGTCTCTTGAAAGTGGCTATGAAAGCATCTCACTGGGAAAGGGAAGAGTGTCCGCATCAGTAAGATGCAGAGGATGTTTGGGGGAGCCCTGCTGGGGCAGACGAGGATAGGACTGAGCGGTCAGGGCTGTTTTTAGATGAGAGGCTGGGTCTGGGAACAGATCTAACCTGATCCGAGTAGAGCAGGGTGTTCAGTTCTGCGGAAGTCGTCACGCAGACGCCTGGAGTGTGCTTGCGACCCTCCTGGGCTGGCTCTTCAGGTATGGAGCTCGGTCCCGTGTGATACGTGGGACTGGAGGAACAAACGTGGTGACGCTGTAGCTAAGAAATATTTTTACGACATTCCCCTTATTGTGCTTACTAATTAACATAAGTTGGACAGGTGCAATTTTACTACCTGCGTCTCTTCTCTATGCAGGATGCCATGTTGGAAGCAGACACTGAATTCTGGATCTCCGTCTGTTGTGAGTTTAGTGTCCAGGAGCAGATTCAAAGCTTGATGAATATCCTCCAGTACTTGCTGAGGTTGCCGGAGGAAAAGGAAGGTGAGAGAACGGGGGCTTACTTCCTGTTGAACTGAATGATTGGGGGTAGGAAGGGGTGGGCAGAGACTGTGTAGAAGAGCAGCAGTGGTAACGAAACACTGAAATGTATAGGAGACTCGGAGAACATTCCACTATTGCGCGCCAGTGACATTGGCTGGATGTGTTGCATATTCTTAGTTCTATGCTTTTCAGAGCAGAACAGCCAAGCATATTTGAAAGATGGGTCTGGGGACTTGCGGGGACTGTTTTCTGTGTGGCCGGCTGTGGCCTGTCTTCCCTGCTCGGCCAGGCAGTGACTCGTCTCATCTTACAGTCGGCTCGGACAGAGCGGCAGGGGCCTAGAGCACTGTGTGTGGTGACCTGCGAAGGAAGAAGTCTTCGTTTGAGTCTCTGGGACAGTGGTTTTTAAGTGGCCCACCCTGAACCCCCAACCCTTTTATATTGGATCCATTTGAACATAGGATTCTACAAAGTTTTAGGACATTTTCCACTTCTTAGAATTAGATGTTGAAGACTTCAGTTTGATGTTGCCACCAAGTAAATGCCTGAGGCTTCAGAAATTAATTAGGCTCCTTGTACAGTATTTTTGGCTTCCAGTTGCTTGTCTCAGCTGCCCTGCTTTTGTTTTGTTTTTCTTTTGGTCTTACACACTCTTCTCAGGGCTGCTGGGTACTTCCTTAGTTAAATATATTCATGCCTTTCACTAATTTATTTTTTTACATTTTTTAAAAAATTGATTTCAGAGAGGGAGAGGGAGAGAGAGAAAGAAACATCAATGATAAGAGAGAATCATTGATCGGCTGCATCCTGCACACCTCACACTGGGGATTGGGCCTGCAAACCGGGCATGTGCCCTGACCGGGAATCAAACCATGAGCTCCTGGTTCATAGGCCGACACTCAACCACTGAGCCACGCCAGCCGGGCTTTCACTCATTTAAAAGAGGGAAAACTGGGTGTACTAGGTTAACAGGTTCTGTACCTCTCTGAGACATGTACCCCATTTCCTGTCCTCTCTGTATCTGCACTGCAGATTGAGGTCGAAGATGAGTGCGGCCACCGATTTTCTTGCTCTTTTGCAGAAACCGTTCCCAAAGTGGCATCTCCTCCGAGCGAAGCCGCAGGGGAGCTGCTGCAGGTGTTCAGTGTGGACGCCCACACGGCCAAGCAGCTGCGGCACTTCAAGTTCCTGTCGGTGTCCTTCATGGCCCAGCTCCTGGCTTCCAGCCACTTCATCAGAAAGGTGTGTGTTCTTCAGATCTGTGTAGAGACAGTGACTGCTTTTTCCGAAGGAACTGTCTTTTAAACTAGTAAAAAGAGCTTGGCAGGTGTCATGAAAACATGGCGCATGGTATCTGAAAATCGGGTTATGAGCTAAAGGAAGATCAGCATTCCATAATTGGTAGGTAAATGAGTTTTGATTTGCTATAGTTTTCTGAATCTTTGTAGTACTTTACAGATATTACCAATAGCTGTAGAATGTAATTAAATGAATAGATTGTAATGAAAATAAAGTAAGGGAAATAGAGTCATTACAGTATGACGAGGGTGATCCGAACCTGATTAGATTGTAATGTCAGAAACCAGTTGTTCTGGGAAGTTTGAATTGAATAGTGTTAGGTGAGTTAAGAGCCCACCTCAAATGGTTTCTGTCATCAGCCGCATAATGTCCTAACGAGGCCTTCTTTACAAATTAGGTCGTTGAAAGCGGTGGTCCTCAGGCCTTAAAAGGCCTTGAACAGAGGTATGTTACGTCTTCTTTTTCCATCTTTATTTGGAAATAATTTCAAACTTTTATCAAAAACCTGGAAGAATAGTACAGAATCCTCACACGTCTCCTGTGTTTAGGTTGCTGGAGGCGGTCCTCGGCTACATTAATGCCGTTGCACAGTCAGTGGAGAAAAACGCAGACAAGCTAACTGGGAAGTTTTGGCGAGCGCTCCTCAGTAAAGCTTACGACATGTTGGACAAGGTAGGGCTTCATCTCTCCCTATCTTACGTGCTTTGTTGCTGTTTTTATGTCCTTGTGAAATGGTTCAGCGTAGTTTTACTTTAAGAATAAACTTAGCAGTCACTTCTCTTAATATAATGCAGCTCAGATTTTTCTTACAAAAGAACCTCGTGGTGACCAGAAGTAATTTTGTCAGAAAGACAGTTGTTTCTCTATCGACTGTGTGAACGTGAGCCTTACAAACACTGTGCTTTCAGAATTCAGTCATGGGACACGGTGACGTTCCACTTTACTCAGGTAGAAGCGGGAGGACAGTGTCAGGTGGGGTGTGAGAGATCGCTTAGAGCAGCTGTTCTCAACCTGTGGGTCACAAGCGGGAGGACAGTGTCAGGTGGGGTGTGAGAGCTCTTAGAGCAGCGGTTCTCACCCTGTGGGTCGCGACCCCTTTGGCGGTCAAATGACCCTTTCACAGGGGTCGCCTAAGACCATCCTGCATATCAGATATTTCCATGATGATTCACAACAGGAGCCACATGACAGTGATGAAGTAGCAACGAAAATAATGTTATGGTTGGGTCACAACATGAGAAACTGTATTTAAAGAGCCAGAAGGTTGAGAACCACTGTCTTAGAGGCTCCGCTGGTCCTGACGTAGGATCACTGCCCCGCATCCAGCTGAGTGACTGCTCCCTGGCATTGATCAGCTCACTTCGTCTGAGCATCAGTTCTTTTTCTTCTTCTTTTTTTAATAAACACGATCAGCATTGCCCTACCTGAAAGTTAGTTTAAGAATTAAATAAGAAAATGGGCTTGAACATGCCTGGCACCTAGAAGGTATTCAGTGGATAGAAGTCTGTCTTGATATGTGTTTATCTTCCCTTTTTTCTAATTGCTTCTGTCCAATGTAAACTGCTCTCTAGGTCAATGCCTTGCTGCCCACGGAAACATTCATTCCCGTGATTAGTGGGCTGCTGGGCAACCCCCTGCCGTCCGTCCGCCGGAAAGCGATGGACCTTCTGAACAACAAGCTGCAGCAGAAGGCGTCCTGGAAGAAGAAAACCGTAAGTGACAGTGCGTCCAACCCACTCACCGCCCTGCGGTGTCAGAGCTGCCTGTGCCTCCCTTACGGGTCTCATGGTACAGTCCACATACGTAGGCTGTTATCTGGATATACTGCCGTGGCACGCGTGTTTTCAACCAGGATATTAATTCTGTAGGAGTAGAGATACATGTCCTTGGAGCTCTTGGAATGAATTTCAACTCTAGTAGAATTCTTGCTTGATGTGGACCCCACACTGGCTTGGGGACAATTCTCATCCACTCTCTTTGCAAACCAGGAGATGTTTCGTGTGAACTAGGAACTGTTCCCAGCACATGCATCGCTCAGTAGCAGCGAGTCCATTGGCGGAGGTCACTGTGTGTGATCGTGTGGCTCAGGCCTCTGTTGGGCAGTGTCAGCAGTAACCGTGGGGCCCCTGGCCGTCCCTCAGCTTCCCAGGTGTGCAGTGAGGCCCCGAGGGGATGCAGCGGGTGGGAAGTGTCGTCCCATACAGCGAAAGGTTATGGGTTCCATCCCCAATTAGGGCACACATGGGAGGCAACTGATCAGTGTTTCTCTCTCACATTGATGGTTCTCTCTTTTTCCCTTCCGCCTGCCCTCTCTCTCTAAAATCAATGAAAACATGTCCTCGGGTGAGGATTTTTAAAAATTAATTTGCTAAAGAATTGACCTTCAAGCTGAAAAGCACACCATTCTCACTTACCTTTATGGTGTTTCTTGTCCCCGTTTTCGATCCCCTCTGACCAGCTGTCATTAGGAAGTCACAGGTACTGCCCCTCTAGAGGGGCCATCGTCCGGCAGACTGGCTGTCAGCCTGCAAGGCACTTGGCTTTGCTGCCTGTGATGCTGAGACCGCACCCACCTGTGGGGTTCCGTGGGGCAGGGCATTGAAGGCTTTTTACACAGGGCCAGACACAAATCAAGCGTTAAGTGGAAAGGCGTTATCTTTTAAATGAGCGCTGTCAATACTATAGGCACCGGGACACGTCTTGCTCTTTGTCACGGAAACTATGTAGACGATGTTTTGTAGGCTCTAACGTACACAGTGGGTAATCTGGGCACCAGTGTGGGATTTTTTTCATAATGACTTATACTCCCTTCTCTACTGTTTCCACTTAAAGTTAGTCTAAAACGTGTTCTTTCTTTCTAGCCTGATGCCCTCATTGCTGACGACAATGAAAAACACCAGCGACCTGGTCTCCGGCGACGTCTACCTGCTCAGCGCCTTGGCGGCCCTGCAGAAGGTGGTCGAGACTCTCCCCCACTTCCTCAGCCCCTACCTGGAGGGCGTCCTGGCACAGGTGAGCCCTGAGACCACAGGTGCTGTGTGAGGTAGAGGGGAAAAGGAAAGTCACACACTTAATCATCTTGTTTGTTTTTAACTTCTGTTTGGCAGGAAGATTATTTCTGAAAAGAAGGGCTTTGTGATTCCTAAATGTGTGCCTTCTCTCCCATGTCATCGTGCCTCTTGCTTAGCCCTGACATTGAGAAGGTGTCATTTTGCCATGAGGCTGGTCTCTTCATTGGGCAGAATGTAGTTTATTGCTCTTTTTTCCCCTGAGAGGTTTGGCGTTGAGCTGGCAGAGCTGCCTTTATTACTTCCTGTAGGACCGGTGCGTCCGGCTCTCCTGTTGGAGGTCTCCTGCAGTGCAGTGCAGAGCTTGCTGCAAACGGTGGGCCGGTGGCATTTCCAACTGAAAATGCCCAAGAATGGCCCCGCCCCTGTTCTGTTCTCTCGATCGTTTGCCATTTATAACTTCCTTGATGCGAATGGTTTAAGCAGCTCTTGAAATGTACAGAAGGGGCCTCTCCTCCGAGGAGCCTGCCAAGTTTGCTAGCAAGGAGCTCAGGGTCTCATGGCGCTGGGTTCCTGTCCTGAGAACACTGCGAGTCTGAGTGCTCGGACCACTCACCCAGGTCCCCAACTCCCGCTGGGAAAGAGGCACCCGTCCATTTGCATCTGCAGACGGTCAGGGTTGGCTGGGAAGGGAACGCTCTGGCAAACGGGTACCGAGCCTTCCCAGCCACTAGCATCTGGGCTGGCTTCCCGAGTCATCGCCGCGACTCTGCAGAGGCTCTCACTGAGTCCACAGAGGCCTCGATCGCTGTCTTTGTTTCCGTAGGTGATTCATTTGGAGAAAATCACGAGTGAAATGGGTGCAGCCTCCCAGGCGAATGTCCGTCTCGCGTCTCTGAAAAAGACACTGGCCACCACTCTGTCCCCCCGCGTCCTGCTGCCGGCCATCAACAAAACCTACA